CTTCCGATCTCCCCAAAACCCCAAAACCCCATGATGAAAATAGAAATTTGAGTCGTTGCAATATTATTATTTTAAAATTTATTTATTTGTTAATGTTGTCTTAATCTACAAAGTTTAAGCTTTACCTGCTTTTCAAAGCCATATCAGAGAATGAACAGATAGTCGAAGAGCAGAGACAAAGACTCGTAAACTAGCCAGACTATGAACCCTATGCTGCATTCAAGCGTATTGATAGATTGAACTAGGACAAGATCAATGCACATGATGTGTGCAACTTTCTAAGGTATAATCTATTAACAAAATGTATTGCTTATCTTTTTGATTAGAGAGAATATGGTAGATTATGCAAACGAAGTAGAATGCTTTTATATGTTTAGATATTTCGACAAAGACAACGATGGATTTCTCGATTTTGATGAGTAATTTTAAATTTATATAATAAAAACTAGTTTTCTGCAATTGACTCTTCCTGCTGATGACATTCAAAAAAGATCAGATGCTGCTTAAAGGCCAAATTACAGAGTGGGAAAGAATGAAAAACTTTCTAAAAATATAGAATTTGAATTATCAAGATTGATTGAAAAGTAAACATTTGAATTTAGTTTTATATCAACATAGAGAGATTCATTATCATGTAAAGGTAGAAATTGAAAAGAAGACTTATGAAAGATAGATTGACTTTAATACTGTTGCAACTTTTACAATCATTGATATTCAAAGAAATGGATATCTTGATTTTGACAATATGAAGAAGTTTATGTCAAAATTTAAAAGAGATATTAAGAAACCAGACATTAATGCAATTGTAAGAAGAATGGATCTTGATGGAGATGGAAAAATTGCTTTTAGAGAATTCTCATTAGGTATCACACCAGAATATCCGGCTCTTGAGGTAAAACCAGTTGAATTCAACATTGAGAAGAAGTAGGAGTTACTAAAACAGTTTGAAGAGAACAAAAGAACAAATATCAGAGAGAACAGTCATTCACCTCTGAGAGATTATAGAAATATATACTAGCAAAATGAGCATGACTCTCCAGTCAAGAAAGAATTCTCATAAATGAAACTTAAATAGCAAATTGATCCTGAGTAAGAATTCCTGATTGATCTCAGGAAAGTTGGTTCTCCTCAGAAAACTGTTAAGAAAGAAACTAAAATAAAGCAAAAAGAGTAAGATGCAAAGCCAGCTAGATCAAGATAAAGAAATGATACTCAAAGTGATGGTAGAAACTTGTAGGATGATATAAAAGGCATTAATAAATCCATTGAAAGAGAAAAAGAAGCTACAAGAAAATAATCTTCCAGTTTCATGCCTTCTACCTTTTAAAATGCATTCAATCAAAATAAGATAAAAAGATCACAGCAAAGCAGTGCAAGTTTTGATGCCGATGGACAATAGCTCACTCCAGAAAGAAGAGTCCCACTGCCATATAAAGATAAAAATTAAAAAACTGAAAATAGCCCAATACTAAATAATAAGCCAACAATCTAATTCGAATAGCTTGAGTAAGTGGCTGCATCTTAAAGAAACGAATCAGTTTCAAATTATTCAGTATCTAACAGAACTCCTACAAACAATATTGTAGGTCCAAAATCAATATTGAAACAAGGAACTAATTAAAATACATAAAAGCAGTAAATAAAGAACAGTGGCGATCACTTAGATATTATTGGTATGCTAGCGATTGGAGCTGAACTTGAATACTAAGTAGAGATTGCAAGATAGAAGCTTATTATTGAATGCGAAGATTTCAACACTATTGATGCTTTCAGATATATTGATAAATAAGGAAACGGGATGATACAGCCTCATGATCTATTAATATCACTCAGGAAAGAAATAGGAATATAATATGAACATGTAGAAGATGATGTCATTATGATATTCTAAAAGTTTGACAAGGATGAATCTCGTGAGATGAAATATAGTGAATTCTGTGATGCATTTGCTCCCAGAGATAAGGGAATTCTAAAAGAACTCGCTGGTAGAATTCCAAGGAATGTCCATTTAGCGATGAAGTATGAAGAAATGTTTTCCTAATAAACAAGAGAGCAATATAGAGAAACTTGGATGCAACATTTTATTTGTGAAAAAGAAACTGAAGTTCTAAGATAGAGATTGCTTAAAAATCCGTATTTTGATCTATAGAGAGCATTTAGAACTTTTGATATCAACAATTCAGGCTAAATAACTGCTTAAGATGTAAGTTAATTTTTATTATTATTATATAGATTGGCCAGGTTTTAGCATAAAATGGGCATCCTCTCAATGAATTGCAGCTATAACTACTGTTTGCTAAGTTTAATAGATAATAGCAAGATGAATCAATTAACTATGCAGAGTTTATAGAAGAGATTACTCCAAGAGCCCCAATTTTCGATGATATGTGATCGATTAATAATAATGACTCAATCTTTGCTTGTCATCTTTTCGATCCCCTAAATTTTATCGTTGTTTATTTAGCTTTAATGCTTTTAATAGTTATAATAATAATTAAAAGCCATAATTTACTATTACTTTTTTAATGGCCTCTAACTTATTCTTTAAATTATAAAAGAGAAGCTTTGCGCGAGCACTAAGGACTATTAAAAAATAGCTTGAAGGTGTTACTTTGAAAAGGCAAACATTTGATCTAGATAAATTTTAATTGGATAAGACTAGCCAATATATGAAGGAAGGAAGATTTGAAGCCTATGATGAGTTTTTGGATAATTACCATGATTACGAAGTTTATTTACAAGATGAATGCCCCAATCCATAGTTTAATCTTACAAAGGAAAATTTAATATAAAGACAGATGGGACATTGTACAACTGAGGGTACTTAGAGATATTTTCAAAGAAATCAAGAATAAATCCACCCAGATAATTTCACATCAATATAGCTTGGAAGGAATTAGCTGACATTATCCAAGATGATGATGGGTACTGCTATAGGTTAGCCAGATAAACTCTCAGATGTAAGTTAGTACTTTTGCAATAAACTGGCCTTAATAAGCGGAGGAATGAATTAAATTGATACTGCAACATTCTTTAGATCTCAAAAAGCAGAGAGAATTGTAGGAGCAGTGTTAAACACACTAGTTCAGAAGTATAGATTTTAGAGGGATGAATTTTTTATCAATTCTAAACAAGGAGTGCTTATTGCTGATTTATATGAAAATGAACCTTAGGAACTTTTGATTTAAGATATTTTAACTAGTGGAAATGTTTAGAAAGAAGATATTATTGGAGACATTTACAGTATTCACCCACATGTGTTGTAAATGCAGTTGGAAAATACGCTTGAGAGACTAAATATAGAGACTTTGGATGTTGCATTGCTATTTAATCCACATGAATTAGCATAGCCATTCCTTACTAAAAAGCAGTACCAAAATTAATTGCTAAGGGCTTTTGATTTCTATGAGAAATAGATCCAGCAAGGAAGGATCAGGTACTACGGATTAAGTGGAGAAGATAGTTTAATGTTTAATGTGTAAAGAGCTACAAATAAAGCGATGAAGTTAGGAACTACAGTAGACAAGATCCAATAGAATATTTATGATGTAGTTAATTTAGTTGAAAAGAGCTTTGGGCAGAAGCATCATTTTAAATTTCTATAGGCTCCTATGAGTGTAACATAGTAGGCTGTTCTTCAGCTAAAGATTCATAAATCATAAGATAATCTTGATAAAACACTTTTAGATGCTTGTGATGATTTAGGAATCAATTTAATGGGATATGGATTACTAAAGTATTCCTAAAAGAACATCATATTAGAGAAATAAATTAGGGTTAATGATAAATTAGGCAGAAATTTCCAATTGTTTAAATCACTCAACAAACCTTCGCTTGTTTCCTTTGCTATTGGAATGGATACTTTAGCTGCTGTTAGATCTGCTTATGAAATCATGAGTCTTCCGAATACAAAAGATGATATTGTTGAGTAATATTTCAATCCAAACTATAAAAAAATGTAAGAGGAATTTGGTGAAGAATGAGTAGAAATCAATCATAAATATATTTTGGAGATGTTTTTGACAATCTAAATCACATTAATTAAATAATTTATAAATTAATAAAATTATTAACTGATTGCAGAAAAATTAGTGGGGTTTTGGGGTTTTGGGG